GAGATAACACAGTGTGGAGCTGGAGGAACACAGCAGGCCAGGCAGCATCAGAGGAGCAGGAAAGTTGACGATTTGGGTCGGGATCCTTCTGACCCGAAACATCACCTTTCCTGCTCCTCTGATGCTGCCTGGCCTGCTGTGTTCCTCCAGCTCCGCACTGTGTTATCTCTAGTGGCTAAATCCAATTGGACAACTGGTCACCTTAAGTCCCAGGCTCTTCTCCCACATCTCATCGGATTTGTTGTCATTCAGGAGAGCAATAGTTTGAAGAGGAATGTGGTCGAGAGAGAAGAGTTGGAGAGACGGGGGACTAATTGCAGGGAGAGGAGAGGTTGAGTGTGAGGACAATCGGGAGAATGAGCACATGGAGAGGGGAAGATGAGTGTGGGAGGCCGTGTGAACATGAGAAGGGTTGTGGTGTGAGCGCCTGGACATGGGGGCGGCAAGTACCGTTTTGAGGGCCATGTAGTATATTTCAAGTTCCGGTCATTGATTATCCGATCTCTTTGTTTTACCGTGCATCAGGAAAAGTACAAGAGGATGGAAAGAACCTTGAAAGCAGAATACGAGCAAAGGATGCAGAACTTCCTGAAAGAGAAGAAGGAAGCTGGGTCTACAAGGAAAGGGAAGTGGCCTGAGAGCCCCAAAACTGCTGAGAAGATCTGGGAGCAGACAGTGATCAATGATTACACAGCAAAGCACCGGGTATGTGTCCAGTGGGACCAAACTGCCTTTACAAGTCAGGATAGTGAGTGATTTGGAGGAGAGCTTGCAGAGGGTAGTGTTCCCATTTATCTGCTGGCCTTGTCCTTCTAGATGGAAGTGGCCATGAGTTTGGAAGGTGCTGTTTCAGGACCTAATTTTCAGTGGTGCATTCTGACTTCTGTTTTGTATCTCCTTGAGCTGACCTGCACAAGGTGCTATGTCTGGATTTCTCCACATCTATATCTAAGCAAAGAATATATTCCAAAGCCTGCAGCACGAGATTTTTCAAAATTAATTCATGGAATGTGGCCATCATTTATTGCCCATCCCCAATTGTGGAGAGTCTGCCACATTGCTGTGTGTCTAGAGTCACATGTAGGGCAAACCAGATAAGGATTTCAAATTTCCTTCCGTAAAGGATACAAACTTGAACACGTTGTAAACATGTTGCCACGTAAAGACAGAGACACAGGAAGTATGAAACACAGACATTCATAAACAGAGCATAAAACATACAAACACAGGGCAGAAGCACAGAACTGATATAGCACAGAAGGAGACTGTTCAGGCCATCATATCTGCACCAGCTGTCCAAAAGAAGGATTCACTGAATACCTTTTCTTCATCACCCTGGGCATTCTTCCCTTTCATGTAAAGGCCCAATTTCCAAAGTGAAATCTCATCCACTCAACTCTTGCTGCTTCTTGAAAAATGTGTTTTCCCTGGAGAGGAGAAGGCTAAGAGGAGATCCTGTAGAAATTTTCATGTTATGAGGGGTCTGGATAGAATAGATGGAGAGAAACTATTTCTGCTCATGAAATGATCAAGAATGAGTGGATACTGATTTAAGAAAAGAAGCGAGTCTGTTGTGAGAAATGGAATCACTGTCTGGAATGGTGGTGGAGGCAGGTTCAGTTGCATCATTGGATGATTATTTAAATAGAAACAATCTACAAGTTACAAGGAAATGGGCAGGAGAATGGCACAAAGTGATGATGCTCATTTTGAAAGCCAGGGCCGGCAGGATGGGCTGAATGGCCTCCTCCTGTGCCATATCAATTCTGTGATTCTGTAATTTGGTTCACTTATGTCTTCCAAAAAAATAAATCTCCTGTCTTTACCTGGTCTGGTCTACATGTGAGTGCAGGCCCACAGCAATGTGGTTGACAGTTATTTGCCCTCTGAAATGTTCCAGTAAGTCATTCAGTTTGAGGGCAGTTAGAGATGGGGAATAAATGCTGTGACCTTGCTAGTGATGTCCACATCCCACCAAAGAGTGAGGATAAAAACAGACATGTGCTCACATAGTCACAGGCATGCGTATGCACACATGCAGGTACACGTACATGGGTAGACACATGCATTCACTGATAGATACACACTGGCAGTGTGTCCCTCCTGTCTGCATTGGGAATAGGCACTTTAGTGGGAATCCCCTGAACAGCCACATGTCCCTCACTAATGTGCTCCTCTCTCTCTCTCTCTTGCTGTCTCTGTCTCTCTCTCTCTCTCATTCCTGGATTCTGAAGACTCAGTGTATTGTGAGTTCAATCTTGCTGTTTTAATCCTTTTTACTGATTGTGTCTGATGCTCACAGAATGACCGCAAGAAAGCTCAATCAGCAATGGAGGCTGCTTGGAAGGCGATGGAGAAGAAGGAGAAGATTCCTTGGATTAAGAAAGCCGCAGATGACCAGAGGAGATATGAGGTGTGCTGCATTTATTTGATTCCTGTCCCCCTCCCATGAGCTCCCTCCTCTCGATTCCCAAAGGTGCTCAGATGTTGCTGCTGGATAGGTCCTTGGAACCGATCTCCCTCGAGATTCCTCACTATATTGAGGTCCAAGCAATCTACATCAGGAAGACCAACTTGTATTTATATAGCAACTTTCACAGTTTCCACTCCCAGTGCCTTCTCAATCAAAGCTTCAGCTTTGTGCCAGCACCATGGGCATACATCTGTATTCCACTAATAACTTTAATGAATGAGACAGTAATGTGACAATAAAGCAGGTAATCCGCACTTTGTGATGTTCAGGGATGGATATCAGTCAGAACACTGAGGAGTAATTCCCCTGCTCCTTTTCAAAATAGTGCTGCGGGATCTTTTACATCTGCCAACGTGAGCAGATGGGGTTTCAGTTTAATATCTTATCTGAAAGACAGCACCTGAAAACAGCGCAGCAGTCTCTCAGTACTGACACTGTGGTCCTCCCTCAACACTGACCCTCCAACAGTGCGGCGCTCCCTCAGCACTGACCCT